CCTGGTGGACTGCATCTGCCGGGTCGTCTCCGGGTCCTCGAACATCTTGACGATGGGCTCGGTCTCCGACTGCAGCTGCTTGAGCTGGGCCACCACGTTGCTCCTCTTCTCCCTCAGCGCTGCAGGACAGACAAGCAGCAGAGCGTCTGGCGGCCATCTTGATTTGCTAACATGTTTCACAGTTTCTTCTTATTAGGACTTTTAGTCCCAGTCGACTCCCACAACAAAATAAAAAGAAGTTTTTGAAAACGTTTTCTGTAGTTTGTTCTTTAGAAAACAAATTGCTTAAACTTAAATCAGATTTGTGAGATATTATCTTTTACCTGATTTGCTCCATCCTTTTTCATATCGTGTTCTCGGTTGATTATCTGACTAATTATTTGTGTAGATTTTCCCACTCTGGCGCTCCATCCTCCTCGGCGGTTGCATCGTGATGATGCTGAAGATCTGCTTTTGGCTTTAAACTTGGTGTCAAACTCTTTTTCGTTTTGGGTCAAATCAGCATCATGAAGGCTCTTAAAGTTCCGATTGTGCCAGAATGTATTGATAAAACCCGTTCACAAACTGTTAAATTGTCAAGAGATTTTTAAAATTAAATATTGTAGAACATATTTTCAATCGCTCTAGGATTGCGTGATTCTTTTAGTGATTTTTTTGCAATAAAAATCATGTTTGTGGTACTAATTTGGAAATATTTGCACTTATTTATGTCAGTAAATGTGACTTTTTATTACTTGCTGTATCATGGACTATAATCTGACAATTTTTTAGAAAAATCTTCAAAAAACTCCTAATTATGCATTAGTGCAAAAAATGCAGAGATTTGTTGATTTTGTGGGAATTTACACAATAAAAACCTGGAGGAACTGATCAATATAATTTGGCAGTAATTTGATTGATAAAATAATATTTTAGCACACTTTGAGTTTAGTCTAGGTGGAACTTAGAGGGCCACATAAACAGCTGTGTCGGGCCAGATTTGGTCCACAGGCCTGTAGTTTGACACATGTGGCGTAGGGGATCCCAACCCCGACTCTAGGAACCCCTGGTCTAAATGCCAAGGATTAATAATCTGAGGGTTTATGATCAGACATTTGACCTGAAGCATTGAAAACCATCCTCAGCTTTTATTTTGAAATCTACAAACTCAGACCAAAAATCTTGAAACTGGAAAGTTTCAGACTTCCTAGTTTCAGCTTTAGTCATAAAGGTTCCTCCAAGGTCCCAGTGGACCAGGCCAGCTTTTAAATGGCTTCGCAGGGTGCCGGATTGCTGAGTGTCCAAACTGCTGCCCACAGATGATATTTCTTCCTTAATATATCCCAGTTTTTTTCAGATGCATTTGAGATTGAGTGTGTTTCAGTCCTAATCTGGGTTGTCAGTGGATCCTGAAGAGGCGTCTGATCCCAGATCAGCTGCTTACAGTGAGGGATCTCCTTGTCTGGGTACAGGTTCTTGTAGACATCCATGGCGAAGTCCACCATGTTGGTGTCGCTGAGCAGGTCCAGCTTCCCCTGCAGCAGCTCCTTCTCATTGTAGATCTGAAACCACATTTATTTATCACTTATCTGTAAAAAGATCACAGAGATGACATTTCAGACTTTTCTTTCAAATAAATTGAGCACATACATTATAACCCTAACCCTTCCTCAACCAATCTGCAGCTAAACAACTATTTAAAAACAACGTATAATTATTTTTTTACCTTGATTTCAGAATTTAACAAATAGTGGCGAATTGGCTGAACATTATTGTTTTAAAAACATCAGCAGAAAGTTTCAGTGAAACAGTGAAATGAAGCTGGTTTAATGTTCAGCTCATCATTTCTGCTCCTCATTTACTGTCAGCAAATTAGTTGTAATTTTGAAGAAGCGTTACGTCATTTCTGTCTCCAGGCTTTTATAATAACTAACAATAAACACAGCGGGATGTTATTTGTGGAAAACGATGTAAAAACAAAAGCACATAGTTTGCAGAATGTTTTCATATGAATAACTGCAGAATCAATGAGGATGATCAGAATCAGCCCACTTCAAACAGCATTACGTCACAGATTAATAAGCGTCATAAACTACATCCTGACACATTTTCCTGATTTTTCAGCTGAACCTGTAAAAGCATCCTGTTAGCTCCGCGGCTAATGCTAGCGGCATGCTAGCCTTTAGCCCACCTAGCATGCCTGAGCCAAAGCTGCTAAATCCGCGATTAGCTTCCACATAATAAACAGAACAGCTTCACCTCCTTCACGGACAGGAACTCCAGCAGAGGGAACACCAGGTGTCGGTCCAGAAAATGGGCTATTCTAGTCGTTAGGTCGTATTCCGCCATCTTTACCGGCTTTGTACTGACAAACGGAACACAGGCAGCAGCCGGCCGTCACGTGACCAACATACATCGTTTTTGTTTATTCATTGATATTTTGTTCTTATTCTTTTCATTGTTATAAAAATCGACCCTTTCATTAATTATCCAGTATACCATTAAATACTTTAACCAGCAGTCTCCACACTACAACAGTTTCTTTTCCTGTCATTGTCTGAAGATGAATAGCTGATTTAAATCCTTTAACTTTTACCTTTAATCTGCATTAATTACATTTTACGTTGACGAGGAAAATGGGAGAGAACGCAGATTCAATATGAACAAATAATTCTGATCTTAGCTTTAAAAAGAGTTTCAAAATTTGTATTTAAAATGAAGAAAGAAAGAAATGTTTGTGGTTTTATCTGGTGATGACCAGCTTCGTCCTCTAGGTGGCGGTTTAAGCCTTCATTTTATTTATTCTTTATGCAATCTGCGGGTTTATTGAGGTTACTTTTTCTTTCATGCATTCAGGTATTTTTCAGAGCAGGAAACACGGATCAGGATTATGATTCCTATCACAAAACTCAAATAAAAGTTGATCAAACTGCGATGAAAGTGGATTCATATTGAAACAAGATGATGACGGTTATGGATGATGGTGGTGATGATGATGATAATGATGGTTATGGTGATGATGATGATGATGATGATGATGATGATGATGATCGTGTTGATGATGGTAGTAATGATGATAATGATGGTTACGGTGATGAATGATGGTGTTGATGATGATGATGATGATGATGGTTGTGGTGATGATGGTGATGATGATGGTGGTTATGTAACGCCCCTCCTCCACCTGTTACCAGAGACTCAGAGCTTCTTGTGAAGCTGAGAGTTGGCAGAACCGGAACCGAACTCGGCCCGGTTCCTGCAGAATCTTCTGCACAGTTGGTGAGGAGGAGAGTTTCCCGCCTCCGCAGCTCGGGGGGGAGGAAGAGGAGCGATGAAGGCCGGTTCTTCTCAGCTCTTTGTTCGGGTAATAATCAGTTAAATGCGTTGCCTGGGAAACCAGCCCTAACTTTAACCTTCACAGCGCAGCAGGTTGAACCACCGTGATGAAGATGATGATGATGATGGTGATGAAGAAGATGATGATGATGGAGAACAGAAACTTTAATTAGTAAAACATATCATCTGACTCAAGGTTCAGTTTTCTGACACATATGGAGAGAAATTTGTTCCAATATTATTGTCAGCAAAGAACCTGTTTAAAAATGCATTTCAAAAATTAATCTTTGAAAAACTCAATCAAATTATACATTTTGAGTGAAATTAATCTTTGCAACAGTTTAACTTGTGACAAAGCGGTGACCTGTCCAGGGTGACCCCGCCTCTCGGCACCAGAACCTCTCGGCACCAGAACCTCCTGACCCGACCAGGGACAGGGTGGAACAAACTGGATGGATGGATAAATGCAACAGTTTAACTTACCGTATTTTCCGGACTATAAGTCCCATTTTTTGGGGGAAATTTATTTGATAAAATCCAACACCGAGAACAGACAAGTCATCTTGAAAAGTAATTTAAAATAAAAATAGAATACAGGTAACAACAGGCTGAATAATTGTACCGTATGATAATGTTACATGACAAACAATAATCTGACAATGTGCCTGGTATGTTAACATTTTAAGAGTTATTCAGATAATTATAGCATAAATAACATGCTAACAAGTTTACCAAAGCATCTGTGTCTCCAAATCACTAAACGCAATGAACTCTTCATCTTCAGTGTCACTTATAAACAGCTCTGCTAACTCCAAAGGTAGAATAACAGGCCGAGAGCGCCCTCTTGTGGGTTAGTGTGAAAATAACATGTGATATGATATAATAATGTGTTAATAATTTCATAAGTCGCACCACTGGCCAAACTATGAAAAGACCTGCAACTTATAGTCCGAAAAATATGGTATATTTATGCAGTTTGTTAGTTTTTCAGATTTTTTTAAAAGGCGTTTTATGAATTTCATCCTTTTCTATGGAAGCCTGTTTCTGCTACTCTGATAAAAAATAATCTCATTATATTGAGATCAATGAGCTATATCTCATTATGAGATGATAATAATAATATCTCACTGTAATGAGGCCTTTTTCAGTCAGAGTGGCAGAAACGGGCTTCCATACTTTTCCGATTTTGTTTTACAGATTCTGTTCCTCACTTTGGGGGCGGGACTTCCGGGAATTCATCTGACCAGTCGTCAATAACAAGCGTTTCAATTGGTCAGCTTGGACACAAAGTTTTTTTTCTGATCGTTCATTCGCCTCTGAAAGCTTATTTTCACTGAATCTATGGGACAAAATCCTCTCCATAAAGATTCAACATTTATTTTATCTTCTGATAAACTGTCGAAACATAACTCAGAGAAAATGACCATAAACTCTTAACAGTTTCTTCCAGGATCAAACCTGAGCTGGAAAGCAAGTAAACTTTATTCATGCTGCAGTTTTTACATGTCAGAGGATAACATGGCAGATATGACATAAAACATATCTGACATAAAACCCTTCACTGCCTGCCGCTGCGCTGCAGGCAGTGAAGGGTTAATCCCAGCTCTGCGTAGGAGAGCGCGTGCCAAACGGTACAAAACCCAAAGCGCCATCTGTCCCACACACACTCGGTTCTGGCGCCGCGTTTTACGCACAACAGCACCGCGCCGGGCTGCGGGTGATCAGCTGCGGGAAGCTGCGGGAAGCTGCGGGTGATCAGCTGCGGGTGATCAGCTCCTGTCAGATTTGATCAGGTTCAGAGTTTGATCAGGTTCGGTGGTCCTGCTGCGCTCCTCGCTGGCGCGTTTAGGGAATCAGAGGAAGGATGGAGAACTCCTCCTCGTCTCCTCCGGACCTGGACCAGAACCAGAGCCGGACCTGGACGGACCACAGCGTCCAGTTCAAGGTTGTGAGCAGCGTGCTGCTGCTCCTCATCTGCGCGCTGGGCATCGTGGGGAACGTGATGGTGATCCTGGTGGTGCTCATCACCCGGCACATGCGCACTCCGACCAACTGCTATCTGGTGAGCCTGGCGGTGGCCGACCTGATGGTCCTGACGGCCGCCGGGCTGCCCGCCATCCCGGACAGCCTGTTCGCCTCCTGGGTGTTCGGCCGCTGCGGCTGCCTGCTCATCACCTACCTGCAGTACCTGGGCATCAACGCGTCCTCGTGCTCCATCACCGCCTTCACCATCGAGCGCTACATCGCCATCTGCCACCCGATCAAGGCCCAGTTCCTGTGCACGCTGTCCCGGGCCAAGAGGATCATCCTGCTGGTCTGGGTCTGCACCTCCACCTACTGCGTCATGTGGTTCTACCTGTCCGACATCGAGCTGCAGGTGTTCGCCAACGTCACCGTCGTGACGTGCGGCTACCGGGTCCCCAGGAAGTTCTACCTGCCCATTTACTTCTTCGACTTCAGCGTCTTCTTCGTGCTGCCGCTGCTGCTGTCCGCGGTTCTGTACGGCCTGATCGCCAGGATCCTGTTCCTCAACCCGCTGCCCTCTGACCCCAAAGGCGGCGGGAAGCGCGAGGCGGCCTCCGCCAGCAACAACCAGCGCAGCAGCTGCAAGAACGCGCGACACTCCAGCTCCACCGCGACGTCACGCAGACAGGTGAGCCCCGCACAAAGATGTTTGGTTTCATATGAAAATGTCCAAAAGAGACTGAACTGATTGATAAGAATCAATGTAGAAAAATGAAAAATGATTTTTCTACATTTTCTTGAAATGTTCTTTATGGTTTTGTTGGTTTTGCTGCTGGAGGGCAGAAAATAACCCAAAACCAGCAATGAGCTGAGAGAAGCTGCTGGGAGGAAATGACGTCATGTCCTCAGCTGAACCCTGAACATTCCAGGTCAAGGTTCAGAAACACAGACCTTCTGCCTGAGGTCTGCACTTTGACTAGGCCATGGCAGCACTTTGATTCTTTTCTTTTTCAGCCGTTCTGTGGCAGATTAGTTTGTGGTTATGATCCTGTTGATGACCCAGTTTGGACCCAGCATCAGTTGAAGGACAGATGGATTCACATCTGACTGAAGGCTCTGGTCCCCAGAGAAGGTTTGGGTCCAATCAGCTGACAGGGACCAATCAGTGAGTCTGTTTGCTTTTCATCAAGTCAAACTCCATCAGCATGAAGAGAATCTTCATCCTTTAGGAAGAACTGAAGGAAAAGCCTCTCTGGAAACAAGATGGCGGCACTCTGGACCGATGAGCCCGAAGTGGAGACGATGGACCAAGATGGACGGAACCAAATCACTTCTAAAACTTTAAATAGATCAAATGCAGCAGAATCAGAAAGTGAGGACTTTTTAATGGTTCCTCTAATATTAATATGAATAATAAGTTTAGCAGTTAAGACTGTGAACTATGTGCTTAGTCTTGGTTAGTCTTGGTTAGTCTTGGTTAGTCTTGGTTAGTCTTGGTTAGTTGATTTCAGTGCCAGCTTCTAGTCTCCATTACAACTATGACGACCATTTTGAAAAACTTGATGTCCACCAGAAAAAGGAAGATAAAAATAATAAGTATGATTTCTGCGGTTGAAAATACGTAGGCTGTGACTTCACACCAAGCACTAATTCATCTGGTGATTTTATAGCATGACAATCGTGGCAGCCATCAAATCAAAAAAATGATCAGAGTATGATTTCTATGGGTCCAATTATGTATGATTTGACACAACAATATTAATATGTGATAAATACTGGCACATTAAAGCAAAACTACACTAAAAATAGCATCCATTTTGAATTTTTCAACAGTTTGTTTTTCAAAAAACCTTGGATCATTTGAGCGTTTCTGTCCTTCGTCTCATGGCTGCAGGTGACGAAGATGCTGGCGGTGGTGGTGATCCTTTTCGCCGTGCTCTGGATGCCGTATCGCACCCTGGTGGTGGTCAACTCCTTCCTGGACCAGCCCTACCTGGACAACTGGTTCCTCCTTTTCTGCAAGATCTGCATCTACCTGAACAGCGCCATCAACCCGGTCATCTACAACGCCATGTCTCAGAAGTTTCGCGCCGCTTTCCGTAAGATCTGCCGCTGCGGGGCGAAGGGCTCAGACAAAGCGGCGGCGTACAGCGTGGCGCTCACCTACAGCGCCGTCAAGGACACTTCACTGGTGGAAAGCACAGATCACTTCACCACAGAGCTGGAGGAGCTGACAGTCACAGACGAGCTGCTGGCGGAGCAGAAGGTCACGTTCTCCAACTCATGTGGATGTGCAAAGGTGAACTTTGGTCACGACTGGTTGGAGGCCAGCGAGGCGACTGGTGAGTCTCCTGAGGACTAAAGACCTCCAAAGTGTTGCCTAATGGACTCCCTTAAGTGGGAATATTGTTTCCTGAGTGCCTGCTGACCTTTTGAAAGCCAGGCTGCTGCAGGTACAGATGTAAACACAGATCGCAGCCAGTGGAGCGCAATGAGAGCCTCTGAGGCTCAAAGCCAAACATGTTAGCCGAGAGCGACGGCAGACATTATAAAGCCACAAACAACCCGACAGATAAGCGCTGCCATTACGCAGCTGTTACCATCGTATCTGAGACCGGTCCGTGCAAGGTGTTTGAGTCAACACGGCCAGACTGGGAGCAAAAACACCTTCCCCACTGCAAACATGCCCCAGCTCTCACATTTATGATCTCTGCAGCTGAGACAGCAGCAAGTCACGCTCACACCTTCACACGGCATCCCACATAAAGACAAGGATCCGGAAGGAGACGCCTTCGCTTTCACCGGCAGGGTGCAGGACAGCAGAGCCACCGCGGTTTGAGCCACGCAACCAAAACCCACCGGGGTCAGCACCATTCAGAGGAGCCAGACATCCAGCAGCTGGGGACCAAAGGAACCTCTGACCTCCAGAGATCCCATCAGAACTGGCTCTCCACGTTCTGGACGGGTTTCCTGGTCGGTCACGGCAGGAGCGGAACCAGCTGGTATTTACCGAGCTGCACCAGATTCAGATGCTCGTGTTTCATGAAGCATTTGCTGCGATTATTGGGATTATTTGTATTTCTGAAGCTGCTTTTCATGATCATTATTATCACAGATTTAGTGTTGTGATTTTGTAAAGTTCTGCTTCTCTTACCGTATTGTAATAATGGATTGATCCTAAATTAATTTGTACATTTCGTCTTCATACTTGAAATAAAGTTTTTGAGCGCAGATTTATTGTTTCTGTTATTAAGCTTCTTTCTTCATATTCATTTTTATTTTCCGTTCCCTGAAAACTTCAGTCAGGAAAAAGCAGCTGTGGTTTGGAGGAACACGTGACGAAGGCAAACGGACAGGAAGTCGGATTTTTCCCGACTTCCTCCCAGATTTGAACCCAATCCCAGCCTGGCACAGATCCAGGAACGTCAAGTTCAGGCTGCGACAGAACCAACAAGTCCAGTTCAGCTCCCAGTTATTAAATAACAAAATAATCAAATTTCAAATCAGCTGCTGCTGCTACCTAGCTGGCAACCATGTTAACCAACGAGCTAGCCAGCTAACTAGCTAATGGAGCGACAAGGCAACTTTCTGTTGAAGAATTTCTCATTTTGGTCCAAATGGTGATTTAATTTGTTTTTCGGTCATTAACCAACAAAAACACCCAACAAGCTGAATAACCAAATTCTCTCCAATCGGACAGACACTCGGAAAGTTCTGGCTCTTTAGTTCTGGGTCAGAACAAGAACAGGAAGAGTTTCTGCCTTTGACTTTCAAAATAAAGCTCTGGTGAATAAGAGTGCAGCTCTGTCCTACTGAAGGCCGAGTCATTCTCCTCCAGAACCACAAATCTACAGGAACCAGAACTTCTAGGAAGTATCCACCTCTCTTCTGGTTCTGCCCAGAATCCGGGTCCAAATGACCCGTTACTGAATAAATTGCTTTTCTTGTTGGGATCTGGAGTTGCTTAGTTTGGTTTAGCATTGTTTTCCACTTCTGTTTCTTCCTTGGCACTTCTAGTTATTTTTGGGTGAGGGTTGGAGTTTTTTTATTAGTTTTTGGCAAATAAAAACTTTTTCTCTGGAGTCAGTACATTTCCTGTTATTCTGTCCTGTCACTTCCTGTCTCCTGCAGCCACCAGCCAGGTTTTTACACCTTCCCAGTATTTAAGCTCCTCTGTCTGTCACAGCCGTCTTATTACCTGCATCCCTCCCTGTATCCCTGCATCTCCCATCCCATTTGTGCCTCCAGTTTCATTTTGGGATTTTTCTTGTTTCCTGAACTCTTGATTTTGAAAGTGGACTTAGTCATTTTTCTTTATAAAATTCTCAAAACCATCTGATGTCTCTGGCCTGCAGCATTTGGGTCGACTCAACTTTGACACCAAGACATTGATCCGGGTCAAACCGAGAGACCTGGAAGTTTGTTCTGGTGGATGAAACCATGAAACTAATAATAATAATAATAATAATGGCTGACAGCGGGTAATGATGGTTTATCCTCTGCAGGTTAATAACACCTTCAGGACCAACGCGAGCAGAACCGGCTCAGCACAGTTGGACCGGGTCCATGACAGTTCTGATCTCAATGGAGGAGCAGCGATGCCGCGTTCTGGTTCTGTTTCACCGGGTCGGACTCATTAGGCAACAAACCGGAGAGGAGCAGTAATTACAGTTCTGCTGCGGCGGAGTACGGTGGCTCGGCAGGTCCAGTGATGATCTCTCATGGAGGAGAAAATAAAAGTTTACAAAAGCTGCAAAACGCTGAGGAGGAGGAGGGAGTTTTCTGTCTGTCAGAGAAAACAGAACAAACACAACAAAACTTCCATTTCCCCCACAAACTGCTGTTGTGTAATCAGGGCCTAAATCATCCTCACACTGAACTGATTCTACAGTGAGACGAAGCTGCAGGGAATCAAAGAGCGACCGGCCCGCCGTTTCCACAAAGATTGTTTTTATTTAAAATGCATTTAAAAGAAAAACAGACTGTTCAGAAACGTACCAGCTGCCGGTCAGAGCCATGCCGTTTCCAGTTAGGGGCAAACCGCCCAGGGCGGCAGCTTGTGGGGGCTTCATGCTCCCGACAATATTGGGCAAAGTTTGGTGAGTTTTTGAACTCGGACACCAAACCTGCAAAAATTGATATGCAGGCAGAAACATGAGGCCTGGGCAGCAATTTGCAGCATTTTGGAGCAGTGTTGGATCTATTACCCAACACTCTCACTGGACATTTATAAGGACACAGGGAGACGGTTAAATTTTCTTATGCAATCTTCCAATTGAATGAAGAACTCTGCCCAGAGACATCCTGTTGTCTCTGTCTCTGGACCAGTTCTAACCTGCTTCTCTGCTACTGCAGATTTTATTACAATGAGGCTTAATTACAAACATTTGCATAGAAGAAGTGGCAAACACAATACACATTCTCAAGATTGTGTCTTTGCATCACCTGAGCTTACAGTTGTTTGTTGTCTCTGGACCATAAAACTAGAGTTTCTGGGGACATCTAGCCTTTGATCCGCTCTCCTGCTTGGTGTCACCTCTTTACCCCTGGTTGGCATCTGTGGTCCTTTTGACTGCAGGCATCTTGCTCCGTTCCCGGGATTCTCTGGTTCAATTCCCGAGACTCTGGGTCGTATGCAAACGACCCATTCTTCCTACCAGACCAACTGGCCATCCGTCTCCAATGGATGGCCAGTTGGTCTGGCCATCCATTTATCTTTGCTTCCTTCAAAGATAAAAGAAACACAGATCCCAGGGGCAAGCAAAGGTTTCTCAACCCTTATAGTCTCCTAATCTTGAATATTTATATAAACCCTAACAAGAGGAACTGTTGCAGCAACAGAAAGGGGACGGACCGCCATCAGTCTCTGACCTTATATGGAAACCTTCACTTCCACTGCACTCCAGAAGTTAAGGGGGCGCTATTTCCTATATTATCCACAGTCTCCCGTTTGTATTTTATTTTGAAATGTGATATACAGATAGTGTAGGAAATAGCGCCCCCTTCTCTTGCGGAGTGCAGTGGTACCATTTCCATATTAGGTCTGAGATTCACGGCGTCCCGTCCCTTCCTGTTGCTGCAGCAGGTGAACTTGGCATTTTGCAGCGTTTTGGTGTGTCAGGCTGGTTTAATGAATCCAGAGAATAAATCTGATTTTTTTGTTTTTTATTGAATCAAAAGTTTGCTTCTGGTTTCTTCACTTATTGTCGACCTTCAGGACAAACAGGCGGGACGAGGTGAGGACAAACAGTCTTTCATTGGATGCTCTGAAGCCCAGGACCGCTTTGTCCGAATCCAAACTGGACACCTGTTGCTTGGCAACCTGTCCCACCTGGCGGCCCTGCTTCCTGTTGAACAGGACGGTTTCCACGGGCGACGGCTGGCGGTAGAGAAAGACACGGCGTAGACACTCACACAGCGCGGCGAAGGAGAAATCTGGAGCACAGGTGGAGAACTTCCTGTCCCGCTTGGACGCCTGGACGTAACCTGGGAGAACAGAGACAGGATGAAGAGACGGAGACGAGCTGAGGGGTCAGAGACAGGGCGAAAGGTCAGAGACAGGGCGAGGGGTCAGAGACGGGGCGAAAGGTCAGAGACGGGAAAGGTCAGAGACGGGGCGAAAGGTCAGAGACGGGGCGAAAGGTCAGAGACGGGGCGAAAGGTCAGAGACGGGGCGAAAGGTCAGAGACAGGGCGAAAGGTCAGAGACGGGGCTAAAGGTCAGAGACGGGGCTAAAGGTCAGAGACGGGGCGAAAGGTCAGAGACGGGGCGAAAGGTCAGAGACGGGGCGAAAGGTCAGAGACGGGGCGAGGGTCAGAGACGGGGCGAAAGGTCAGAGACGGGGCGAAAGGTCAGAGACGGGGCTAAAGGTCAGAGACGGGGCGAGGGGTCAGAGACGGGGCGAAAGGTCAGAGACGGGGCGAAAGGTCAGAGACGGGGGAGGGTCAGAGACGGGGCGAGGTCAGAGACGGGCGGAAAGGTCAGAGACGGGGCGAAAGGTCAGAGACGGGGCGAGGGGTCAGAGACGGGGCGAAGGTCAGACGGGGGGAAGGTCAGAGACAGGGCGAAAGGTCAGAGACGGGGCGAGGGGTCAGAGACGGGGGAGGGGTCAGAGACGGGGCGAAAGGTCAGAGACGGGGCGAAAGGTCAGAGACAGGGAGGGAGGGGTCGAGACGGGGGAAAGGTCAGAGACGGGGCTAAAGGTCAGAGACGGGGCGAAAGGTCAGAGACGGGGCGAGGGGTCAGAGACGGGCGAGGGGTCAGAGACGGGGCGAAAGGTCAGAGACGGGGCGAAAGGTCAGAGGGCGAGGTCAGAGACAGGGGCGAGGTCAGAGACGGGGCGAAAGGTCAGAGACGGGGCTAAAGGTCAGAGACGGGGCGAAAGGTCAGAGACGGGGCGAAAGGTCAGAGACGGGGCGAGGGGTCAGAGACGGGGCGAGGGGTCAGAGACGGGGCGAAAGGTCAGAGACGGGGCGAAAGGTCAGAGACAGGGCGAAAGGTCAGAGACGGGGCGAAAGGTCAGAGACGGGGCTAAAGGTCAGAGACGGGGCGAGGGGTCAGAGACGGGGCGAAAGGTCAGAGACAGGGCTAAAGGTCAGAGACGGGGCGAAAGTCACAAAAAGTCCCAAAATCCCAAACCAGCCGAGACACCAGGAGGCGCCGCAGGAGGACTTTGTCCTATACAAACATCTGGTGTAAAAGCCAGAAACCCGACCCGGTTCTGCCAGGACAAACAGACCAGAACTCCCAACAAACTGGTATAAAAAGCCGGAGGTCTAGTCCAAGTTTCTGCAGCCAGAGCTTCAATAGTCAGAGAAGCAGTGAAGCTTTTCTGAAACATCTCTCAGATCTGCAGCAGAACCTCAGGTCCAAACCCGACCCGCTCGGTTCCTCACCCAGGGCGTTGAAGGTGGCAACATGCTCCCAGAGGTCGCCGGGTCGGTCCGGACGCGGCTGCCACACCAGGGCGTCCACATCGTGACGCAGACAGAGACACGGCATCTGAGACGGGTCCACATCCACGGAGAACAGGAACTGATGTCCGCCCAGGTTGACCTGGAGGACAGACGGACACAGAGAGACGTCATTCGAGAGACGGACAGAGAGACGTCATTCGAGAGACGGACACAGAGAGACGTCATTCGAGAGACAGACACAGAGAGACGTCATTCGAGAGACGGACACAGAGAGACGTCATTCGAGAGACGGACAGA